TTCTCCAGAGGAACTGATCTCTGCTACCTGAAGAGCAGTTGTAATTGTGAGTGATCTGTAGCCCTCACCTGGAGATTGGCAGCAATTGTTACCCAGGACAAAATGGCTGGTTTGGAGGGTGTAGTCTATGGCATTCTACCTGTCTGAGGTCCCACCCCTCCGCAAACCCCACCCTCTCCAGGCTCCACCCCTCAAATCCCCAGGAATTTGTCAGCATGTAGTTGGCAACCCCATCTCCTTCCCAGCTAACCATCAACCTACCATTATCTGCCCCTTTGACTTCAGCTGACTTCTGCCCTCCCTTCTGCAGAGCAGTTGTAATTCTGAGTGATCTCCAGCCCTCACCTGGAGATTGGCAACAATGGTTCCCTATGAGGGACTGACTGGTTTGGAGGGTGGAGTCTATGGCAGTGTACCTGTCTGAGGTCCCACCCCTCCTCAAACCTCACCCTCTTCAGGCTCCATCCCTCAAGTCTCCAGGAATTTCCCATCTGGAGTTGGCAACCCTATCAGGACTGGCCCCAATGTGTTTTCTCCCAAAGGCCAAAGTAGGTGACAGGACCAAGCTTAGTTGCCTACCAACAGGCACTGAGGGGAATGTAGGGTTGCCAGCTCTAAGGAGGGAAATACCTGGAGGTTTGGGGGGTGGATTCTGTAGAGGGCAGCATTGGGCGGGGGGGCGAGGCGGAAGGACTCAGCAGGTATAATGTCATAGGGTCTACCCTCCAAAGCAGCCATTTTCTCCAGGGGAAACTGATCTCTGTCATCTGGAAATCAATTGTAGCAGTGGGAGATCTCCAGGTCCCACCTGGAGATTGGCAACCCTAGGGGAAAGTCAGCTGCACAGCAGGGGGTTGAAGAGAATGGTTTGATGGGTGCTGGGCCAAGATTGGCAACAATAGTTCCCCAGGAGCCCCATCGTAAATGCACCAAACAATTCCTAAAGATTTTCCGAAACACTACTCTGTCGATAAATTGCAACAGTTTGAATCAGCACCAAAGCTTTAAGAGCTCTCCAGCTGGAGACTGGCAACAGCTTGTCTGGAGTGTGGGCAGTATGACATTGTATCTGTCTGAGGTCCCCCTCTTCCTCCTCCTCCTCAGACCCCACCCTCAGCAGGCTTCATCCCTAAAATATCCTGGAAGTTTCCAACCTGGAGTTGGCAACCCTATGTCCTGGAGTTCCAACCTGGAGTTGGCATGTGGTGTGGCGTGATTGTGTTATTGGGTTTGTTTCTTTTAAAGGGGAAGTGATGTGTTGTGAGTGAGGACATATGTTACCTCAGAATACAGTAGTTCTCATATGCAACTGAAAATTCCAACTGCCTTGCGGGGGGGGAGTTTGAGGTGTGGAATGGAGTGAAGTCCAATCAGCTTCCATATGCAAAAGACCTTGAAACGCTGGGCGGGACTGCACAAAGCAGCCAGTCAACCCAGCCAGTGTCTTCTGAGTGGCAGTTCTTCCGGCCAAACACTAAAGGCGGGCATTTTAGAACGTTGGTCCCCACTACTGCTTTATTATAAGGGAGAGATAATTGAGCTGGATGAGAGCTTGATGCAATGGAGGACACATGGAAGTCCTTCTTTGTGGCTTTCACTGCCATCTCATAGGCTTCCATAAGTGTCGTATAAGATGTTCTTGAAGCCTCGTCATGAGTACCCCGCCAAACTTGCTATAGCCGTTTTAGCTCCTGTTTCATCCTCCATAGCTCCATGGAGCGAAGAGGGCATCAGGAAGTGATTTTGTTGATGGCTTCAGAGAGCCAGCTATGCCAGTCCTCTAACAGCTCATCAAACGATGTGCCAGGAGGCAATGGATCCCAGAGAGCATTCTGGAAACCATTTGGATCCATTAGTCTCTGTATCTCCTCACCACCTAAACAGGGATGGGTTGGGATACTCAGACAAGCCTTGAGGACAAAGTGCTCTGACCAGGGCACTGCATCAATGGCATCCAGATCTACATTTGTCCCCATCCCAAAGATCAAATCCAGTGTGTGGTCTGCTTGGTGTTTGGGAGCTGATACAAAATGAGAAAGCCCCAGTGCTGCTATGTATGGAACTAGGTCCATGGCCTGTGAGGAGGTGAAGTCATCAGCATGGACATTGAAGTTCCCCAGAACTAAAAATCTAGGGAACTCCAAGGCACAGTCCAACACCACCTCCAGCAGACTTGGCAGGGCATCTGCTGGTTCATTGGGTAGTTGGTACACCAGCCAGATGGCCAAACTCGCTTCTGCATCCCACGGTCAATACACCCATCAGTTTACATACAAGAAGGACATATATGCAATCGTATACCGTTCCTTTTTAAATGACCTACTATTATGATCAGGTAAAATTCTCAACAACACTTTGTTAAAATGATTTCTTTTTGTAATGTAAAATCTTCCAATTGCTACATCCAGGTGTATCAATAAACAGTATCAGTAACTCATTCTTTGTATATACATACATTTCAGACTTACAGACTTATATTATGCCCTGTTTATAATCTCTTACAGAATCTAGTTTGTGGCTGCTGGAATGTTGGGTTAGATGGATTTGGTTCATTGAAGCAACTGTTTTGTTCTGTTGCTTTGTCCAGCCTTGTCTCCTGTATACAGGAGAAATGTATCTTAATTAGCTGTTCATGTGTTTGGGGTTGTGGATGCGGGCTGCTCTGAGCAGATGTATTTGCATTGAAGGTCAAAGAAGAAGGGGACAACAAAGGATGAGATGGTTAGACAGTGTTATCAAGGCAACGAACATGAAATTAAGCAAACTCCAGAAGATGACGGAAGACAGGAGGGCGTGGCGTGATGTGGTCCATGGGGTCGCGAAGAGTTGGACTTGACTATGTGACTGAACAACAACAATTTGCATTGACAGACTTTCTGTTAAGACTTCTAGAAGAGTGCTTGCCCTCTCCAGAACGGCTGATTTCGGGAAGGGTGTTGAAAGACCAGAGTCAGATTGAGGTGATGAGGGAGGAGGTTCTACGACTGATAGACAACTTAAAAACTGATAAATCATCAGGCCTGGATGGCATACATCCAAGAGTTCTGAAAGAACTCAAATATGAATTTGTGGATCTCCTGACAAAAATATATAATCTTTCATTAAAATCTGCTACCATTCCTGAGGACTGGAAGGTAGCTAATGTCACTCCCAACTTTGAAAAGGGTTCCAGAGGAGATCTGGGAGATTACAGGCCAGTCAGTTTGACGCCGATACCAGGTAAGTTGGTGGAAACCAGTATTAAGGAGAGAATTAGCAGGCACATTGATGAACAAAAACTATTGAGGCAGACTCAGCATGGGTAGTATAAGGAAAGATCTAGTCTCACTAACCTGTTAGTGTTTTTTGAGGGGGTGAACACACATGTGGACAAGGGAGACACAATGGATGTTGTTTACCTTGACTTCCAGAAAGCTTTTGATACAATACCTCATCAAAGGCTCCTAAGTAAGCTCAATAGTCATGGGATAAAAGGACAAGTCCTCTTGTGGATTAAAAATTGGCTAAGTAGGAAACAGAGAATGAGTATAAATGGGCAGTTTTCATGGTGGAGAGTGGTAAGCAGTGGGGCACTGGGCTCAGTACTGGGTCCGATGCTTTTTAACTTGGCCATTAATGATTTGGAGTTGGGAGTAAGCAGTGAAGTGGCTAAATTTGTGGATGACACCAAATTGTTCAGGGTGGTGAGAACCAGTGAGGATTGTGAGGCACTCCAAAGGGATCTGTCGAGGATGGGCAAGTGGGTGTCATTGTGGCAAATGGAGTTCAATGTGGCCAAGTGCAAAGTGATGCACATTGGGGCCAAAAATCCTAACTATAAATACACATTGATGGGGTTCGAACTGGCAGAGACTGAACAAGAGAGAGATCTTGGTGTTGTAGTAGATAACTCAATGAAAATATACACCACAGAGACAGTGTGCTCCTGCAGTAAAAAAGGTTAACACTATGCTGGGGGTTATTAGGAAGGGAATTGAAAACAAATCAGCCAGTATCATAATGCCCCTGTGTAAATCGATGGTGCGATCTCATTTGGAATACTGTGTGCAATTCTGGTCACCACACCTCAAAAAGGATTTTAGAATTGGGAAAAGGGCAGGAAAGGGCAACTAGAATGATCAGAGGGTTGGAACATAAATGGGCATGTTCCATGAATATCGCTTCCTTCTTCCCTTGTTCTGGTACTTTTTATACTGTATCTCTTATCCTCTGCTTTAAAAAGAGCTGCAAATTAAAGAAATGAATTTGTACATATATTTTTATCACATAACTGAGATTTTTTTTCTGTTGTGGTTGTAGACTGTTGCTGTACAGAGAAGCAGTAGTTTGATGTTTCCCATGCCAGGCTTTTATTATTTATTCAGATGCCTTTTCTCTTGGCTTCATCACTCACGTTTTAGGCTGAAACCAAATATTTCCTCTTGAGTTATCTAGAAGCAGTTTTTGGATTATGCGGAAGAACAGTAGCTAGCCGGGAAGAGGAATATGGGTATGGGGAGTTAGGGAGGTGTCTGGGAATGAAAATTTGGAGGCTGCGACACCTCCTACCACCAGACACCAGCAAGGCCAGGAGAAGGCCGGAGTCCTGGCTGGTCGCCAGGATCATCCATACAGTCAGCAAGGCAACTGTGGTGGCCTGAAGAAGAGATGGCTGTCCATGCACATGCATTCACACATCTCGGGCTGCTGCCACGGCCCTCTCTGGAGTCTGAGGAAGGTGCATGTTGCGAGCCACGGATGGTCCCCGGAGAGTGGAAGAGACTCCCAGCGCATCCATCCCTTTGCCTGCGGCATCCTTGAGGGCCCCCTCTGCCTGGGAATGCCTGTGGCCCCCATGATCAGGACCCCCCCCCCCACAACACGCCAGCGTGTTCCTCGCGTTGCCACTCGGCTAATGACCAAGGCGGCATTCAGCGGCGGTCGCTCAGACATATGAAAGTAGAAGCGCTTCTCCCTCTGATGGATTCTCATCCCATCTCTTCTCTGTCTTTCATTCCTAGATCCCAACGCTGTGATGCCAGAGCAGCTGACGACCAGCCGGCCTAGCAGGGAATCTGACAATAGTGTGAAAATGGCCACACGGAGTCCGCGCCACAGATTCCCACCTGCTGCGGAGGACCCTGGGAAGCCAGGTAGCACCTCGTGTGGAGCTGCAGGGGGTGGTGGTGGACGGGGGGGGGGGGGGGGGGAAAGCATCCCTGCAAATCGCAGGCCTGGTCCAGACCCTTTGGGGATGATACAGCATCAGATACTTTAACAGAATTTTTAAAACAAGTATGTCAAAAGGACCAGATTTTTTCAGTTGGAATAAATTTTACAAGTATAGAATATAGATGGGTCCTCACAGGCACGAAGTATGTGCTTCTTGCCAAGCAATTCCTCACTCTTTTGTGGCCATCATTAGGGATGGTGAGGAGCAGAGGACTGCAGTGATGGTGGCTGTGGTAGACTCTGTCGCCAACTTTGTCCCTTCTGTTTTCTTTCCCAGATCCCGTTAACCAAGATGGCCAAAATACTCAGAGCCCCACAGGTGGACTCTTCAGCTCCAAAGTGGCGGTGTTTGCGGCCATTGGTGCCGGCTGCGTGGTCTTTGTCCTCATCATCATCTTCTTGGTGGTCCTCCTGATCAAGATCCGCAAGCGGCACCGGAAGCACACCCAGCAGCGCGCAGCAGCCTTGTCCCTCAGCACCCTCGCCAGCCCCAAGTGCAGCGGCAACGCCGGGTCTGAGCCTAGTGACATCATCATCCCCTTACGGACTACAGAGAACAATTATTGCCCTCACTACGAGAAAGTGAGCGGGGACTACGGCCACCCTGTCTACATTGTCCAGGAAATGCCTCCTCAGAGCCCAGCCAACATTTACTACAAGGTTTGAGGAGCCAACAGAAGAGCACTTAAAACCAGAGGGACCGGGGGGGGGGGGGACAACCCCTCCCCGCGTGGTGTGCTTGCACTGAAGAGCCGCCTCGTACGGGATCCAGGCAAGGGCCTGGGCAGGCACTCCTCTCTCTCCTTTAGCATTTAGCTTTGTAGTTTGGAGCGGGGGCAGTCCCAGGACTCCGGTGGGGGCGGGGCAGGGGGAGCCTGGCCAGCATCCTTCTCCGAGCTCCAAGGTAGCCCCACAGCAAGTTCAGTGGCCCACGGCTCGGGCTCTGTGCCTTTCATCACCTTAACCATGTGTGACGGTCTCCAAGAACTCCCCTCCCAGCTTTTCAAGCCCCTGTTTTTATTACGTTATGTATTGGGGGGGGGAAGGGGGGCCCCCAGGGCCTGGAGTTCTGCAGCACTGGGGAAATCTGCCTGGCATTGGTATAAGATGAAAGATGGGAATCCTCACAGGGAGGAGACTTGTCTGGCCCCAACTTTGTACTATTATAATTATTTTAAATATTTTTGTACCTTTTTAAAACACTTTGTGAAATGTCGGAACTCTAAGCCTTTGAGCCTGAGCCTCTTTGTCTCATCTTTCTGCAATGTG